GGTTTACCGGGCAGTTCTGTTTGTGACCATGTATACGTAGAATAATAAAATTTGATTCTCATCTGGACTTTAAACTGTGGTCTGTATTTCAGCATGGGTGTCCCACCTGAGCTAGGCCCATATGCAGAGTTTCTAGTTGATAGCTTTATGATTTTTTTTTATTTTTATTTTTTTGGAGTGATTCTCGGTGATGTTAGTGTTTTTTCAGACTCGCGATTTTTTTTGTTTTTTGTTTCTTTTGTTTGTATGCAGGTTGTACGCGAGCATTATCTACGGGATGACATCGCATGCGGAGCTCTGTCGTGCCGGACTTGTGAAAACAACACAAAAGCGTGTTTAAGGGAAAAAATCCTGGTCGTTGATACAAATGTAGTGCTGAATCAGGTGAGCGGTTTTCTATTTGTTTGTCCCTCTCTTTCTTTCTTCTCTTTTTTTTTTTTCTCTCTTTTTTTCCTCCTTTTTCCCCCCTCTTTCCCCCCCCTTTTTTTTCTCTTTTTTTCCTCCGTTTTATTGTCTTTTTTTCCCTCTCTTTTTTCTTCCTCAAAAGTTTCTCCTTTTTTTCTCCTTTTCCCTTTTTTTCCCCCTTTTTTTTTTCCTCTTTTTTTCCTTCTTTTTTGTTTCTTCTTTTTGTCTCTCTCTCTCTCTCTCTTCCCCCCCCTCCTCCTTGTTTTTTCTTTTTTTTTCCCTCTTTTTTTTCTCCTTTTTTTTTCCCCCGCCGAAAAAGGAGGGGGAAAAAGTAGGCAAGGGTTCTTTTCCATTGAATGAGAAGAGGTGAGATCCGACTAGCAAAGCGGATTGGATGAAACGACTGAATCTGGACGTGTTTGTGGGGAGGTACAGAAACCCGCTATTGATTTGCTTTTCTGCATCTCTGCATAAAACACGTCCAGATTTGTGTGCTTAATCTGATCCTCTTTGCTACAGTTGGACTTCGCCCAAGGTCTTCGCGAAACTGATATTCTGCGCGGGAAGAAAGGAAAAAAAGAAGTGAAAAAATGAAATAAAAATAAAATGTTTTTCGATTTCTTCACTCCGATTCGGACGCCAATTCCTTGTAACTGCATTTGGGGCGTATTCCAGTCCAGATGCACAGCCATAATGACCGGGCACCCGGGGACGAATTTTGTGCCCGAAGTGTGCCCGGCTCTGGAGGAGAACTGCAATGCAAACTTCTTCTTCTTCCTTTTTTTTTTTTTTTTTTTTTTTCAGGGTGACAGCCTCGAGATATCATCGTGAAACTGACCGGGCCTAGGTAATTCAGGAATTTCGTTCATCATGTTTCTTCATCTGGATTTGAACTCAGGCCTGGATTTTGACAGTTCACAGTCGTACCAATTGAGCTAACCTGATGATATATTTAGATATGGCGGCAAGTTGGTCCTTCCTCTGCTGCTTCTCATCATTCTGCCGTTTCTCCTCACCCGTCTCCAACTGGCGTCTCCTCTCGGGCCTTCACCATTGATATTAGCCCGGGCCGTCAACTAGCAGTACGAACAACGTTACGGCGGTTATTGACATTAGGCGCAGCGGGTTCTTGGTCCGAAGTTGTTGCTTCCATTCAGCAGGCTACGCCCGCTTGGTGAGCTCGCCTGCTGCAATGGCTGTATATAAATGTTTCTAATGCAGACATGACTGCGGACGTCCGTGAACTTGAATGCCTTATTCGGCGATTTCAACACGTCCGACAACGATATACTGCTCATTCCCGTGACACCTTCGGAAACTTCATCAGGATTGTGCATATGCATGAGATCCTGAAGGCTACTAAGTTGCGCCATGTGTTGAATTCTCCGGATGTGTGTGCATTACACCCCGACCCCCAGGCAGCTAGCAGCATTCGCATCTGTGACAAACTCGTGCCCCCAACAAGGGTACAATTCTGTAATTTTACGGAAGTGGCCTTGAGTGTCACTCCGGACCTGTGCCTACCTGCTGCTGCTGATTGCCCTTGTCGTCGGGCGTTTCCTAACTGCACCGATCTGGTTGACGGCCATGTTGTTTCCGCCAACTATGATCTGATTCCGGATGCTA